GGAGCTCCGACCCCATCTGGCGACGAGGGCATGCGGTCCTGCACCTAGCGCAGCTCAGCTGCATGTGACTAGGCTGAGCCCTCCTGGTTGGTTCGCCTCGGCCTCTCTGATTTGCCCGCGCGCGAAGTCGGGACACATTCGAGGCCCCCTGCCCCGCTGCCGCAGCGGATCGTTCCTACAAGCCGCACGTTCAATGGTCCGGTGGCAAGCTTAGCCGGTTTTATTTTGGCCTCGATCGATCGATCGGTTCCCTCCTCGCCCTCCTTCCCTGCTGCTGCCTGCCGCTCCCCTTGGCGCCCACCCGTTGCGGTGGTTTGGTCCCGTCGGCGCCCGGGGCCCTGGCACTGCGCGCGCATTGATGACAGTGGCTGACCTGCTGACGCGCAATTAGCTGGCACTCAACTACTCACCGTTCATCGATTGTCATGGGCGCCATCATCGGTTTGCTGCAAAAAATCATCATCATCATCATCACCATCATCATCATCATCATCATCATCATCATCATCATCATCATCATCATCATCATCATCATCATCATCATCATCATCATCATCTTCATCTTCATCTTCATCTTCATCTTCATCATCATCATCATCATCATCATCATCATCATCATCATCATCATCATCATCATCATCGCGAGCGCGCCCTTCCTCAACTTCGTGTTCCTTCTCATCATGCTTCTCCTCCTCCTCTCCTACGTTCAATTCTGGAAGTTTACGCATCGATTCCTTGCGTGGGTGGGCGTATAAACATGCTTTCTGCGCGAAGACCTGCAATTCGATTCCGCATGGCGACGTCGGAAAACAACCAAAATTTGAGGAACAACCAATTACCATGGCGAGGGGCCCAAACATATGCAGGTGTGAATACAGTCGCTGCGTGTGCCGCCGTCGGTGGAGCTCCCTTCGGGGCCACGAAAAGTGGGGGTGCGCTGAATCGGGCGCGAACACGCCATGCGGACCCTGCCGCTGGGGCCTTCGGTGGAGCTCCCTATGGGGCCACGAAGCGCGCGAAGGGTGTGCCGGATTGCGCGCGGGCACGCCATGCGGACCTTGCCGCCAGGGCCTTAGCTGGAGCTCCTTATGGAGCCACGAAGCGTGTGAGAGGTGCGCTGAATCGGGCGCGGGTACGCCATGCGGACATTGCCGTAGGGGGTGTGCCGAATCGGGCGCGGGTGCGCCATGCAGACCTTGCCGCTGGGGCCTTCGGTGGAGCTCCCTCCGGGGCCACTGAAAATTTGATGGGTGTGCCGAATCGGGCGCGGGTGCGCCATGCAGACCTTGCCGCAAGAGCTTTCGGTGGAACTCCCTTTGGGGCCACGAAGCGTGTGAGGAGTGTGCCGAATCGTGTGCAGGTGCGCCATGCTGACCCTGCCGCTGGAGCATTCGGTGAACCTCCCTATGGGGCCACGAGACGTGTGAAGGGTGTGCCGAATCTGGCGCGAATACGCATCATGGTGATGAGGTGAGAGCGGATGCAGGGCAGAAGCAGGAATGGCGGGAGGGAGGACGGGGAGGAGGAAAGAAAAGAGTGAACGCGGGGCGCTGTCTTTTCAAAACGAGTACCCAGCACCACAGGATGGCTGGGGAAAAAACAAATCAACCAGCAAAATACATTTCAAAAACAAATAATAGATCCACCGTCCCAGTGCCCAACCGCGCCCGTTCTCCCCACTCCATCCCTTTTCCCACCGACCTCTCCATTCACTTGTCCATTTCTCTCCCTTATAACTGATTCCTCCTTGTCGGGTTCCGAGGCGCGTCGATAGGGCGGGCCGGGCGTTTCACTTGAGACTTCGCGGCAAGTTATGATACTCGAGCGGATAATTTGGAAAGGGTTCACGGATGAAGGGCGGGTCGTTTTCAAAATGTGATTTTCTTTTCAGCGCCGAGCACCATCGTTTCAAAATTGTTGCCACATACTCACGGGTGGAGCGCAGCCCGCTTTCGAAATGTGGTGATCGCCTCAACGTCGCGCAAGTTAGTTGTTGTTACTGCAACAGTTGCACGGATGGGGGGGCGGTCCGTTTTCAAAATGTGGTTATCGCCGAAGCACTGCGCACATTCGCTTGGAAATTGCAAGAGCTTCACGGATGGAGGACGGCTCGTTTTCAATATGTGGATATCGTTTTAGCGCCGCACGCATTCGTTCAGAGATCCTACAGCGGGCTTACGTATTATCATGGCCACCGTCGAAGAAGTTGTGTTCTGGCATATTGTCCGGCTGTCAGGGCGCAACAGTTAGTTACGCTGCTTCGCGGTGCTGGAGTCTCAAGAGTAGTGTTCTGGCACGGTTCAGGACCACGAAGACGCAACAGTAATGGTGATTCGCGGCGTTGAAGTCCTAAGAATGGTGTTCTGGCGCAGTTCAAGATTTTCACACGCTTGTCTTCCAACGGGGCATTGCCCCCAGTGAAAATGGATCCTTGTATGGGGCCTACGAAAAGGGAACTTGGAAGGAGGTTTTATTGCAGTATCGTTGATGAGTCTTGGGTTTACACTGGTCCTCCCCTTCCTCCATCTCCTCCTCTCCACACTCCTCCCTGCCCTGTCACATTTGGGGAGAGCAGGGCGAGGGGAAGGAGGAGGGGGAGGAGGAGGAAAGGGGGATGAGGGAGCAGGAGGCAGGAGGGAAGACGAAGAGGGGAGGAGGAAAGGACGATGATGGGGAGTACGGTCAGTAGGAGGGGGAGGAGGAGGAAGAGGAGGAGGAGGAGAAGGAGGAGGAGGAGGAGGAGAGGAGGAGGAGGAGGAGGAGGAGGAGGAGGAGAAGGAGGAAGAGAAAGAGGAGGAGGAGGAGGAGGAAGAGGACGAGGAGTGAGAAGTGAGCTCCAGAGGTGGAGAAGTAAGGACTAAGATTCTCCTCATCGCTCCTCAATCCTCCTCCTCCTCATCATCGTCGTCATCATCATCCTCCTCCTCATCATCATCAGCATCATTATCTTCATCATCATCATCCTCATCATCAGCATCAGCATCATCATCATCATCATCATCAGCATCAGCATCATCATCATCAGCAGCATCATCATCATCATCATCATCATCATCATCATCATCATCATCATCATCATCATCATCATCATCATCCGTATTCCTCTGCCTCCTCGTTTCCCCTTGCCTTGTTGCTTCTGATGTTGCTCCTCCTCCTCCCTCCTCCTTCCCTTGCTCCTGACCGTACCCTCCCTCATGATTCGCCCGTTCCTCCTCCTCCTCCTCCTCCTCCTCCTCCTCCTCATCATCATCATCATCATCATCATCATCATCATCATCATCATCATCATCATCCTCGCCTTCCCTCCTCCCTCCTGCTCCCTCATCCCCCCTTTCTCCTCCTCCCCATCCTCCCCCTCGCCCTGCCCCCCCCCCCCCATGGAGCAGTACAGGGAGGAGGAGAAAGCGGAGTGAAAGGCGGAGTGGGGGTGGTGGGAATGGGGAGGAAACGGGGAGAGGGCAGTCGGGCAGTGGAACGGTGGAGTAAGAAGTGATATCGTTGATTGTTGTTTGTTGTTTGGGTGTTTTGTCCTAGGTTGTTTTTAGGTTGTTATGCCATCCGCCTTTGGCTTCTTCGTTATGTTTGTTTGTCCGTATGACTGTGTTGTATTCCGCCGTTCCCATTCGGATTACACTTGCAAGTTCTCCAAAAATGGAATATGTTCGCAAACCTTCCTTACAAGGAGTCGATATGCAACCTCCAAGAATAGGAGAAGGGGAAAGCGGAGGAGCAGGATGAGGAGGACGTCGAAGTGGAGGAGAGAGGGAAAGAACAGGGTGATGAGGAGGGAGAAATGTGCGGGTGAAGCTAAATTGGAACCACCTTGTCCAAATCTGGTGAGGAGGGGGGGGGCTTCTGCGAAATTGCCCAAGAGGGTGGCCCACGGGACTTCCATGCCCATGTGTTCAATGCGGGATCTCCAGAAGTCCCGACCTCTTCCTCAGGGCTGGGGTTCCATCCCGAGTCCCTTGCTGTCTGGCCCCGGGGCCTGGCTAGGGTCCGCGGAGGCCGACTATATGGCCCAGAATCTCCCGTCGCTGTCTTTGTTTCACGACGCGAGAGGAGCTCAGGGCTGTGCAGTGCTCGAGACCTCCTGAGGTTGGCCTGGCGTCTAGCGTTAAGTCAGGCATGCCCCTCTACAGGAGGAATATTCAAAACTCGTCTCACACAAAAAAAGTCGGGGGACGATTGTTCGACTATGTTCGACTATTTTTGAGACTATTGTTCAATTGTCGTCCAAAACTCGCCTGTAGGAGGACATGCCCGACCTAAGTCTAGCGACCGAGGATCTCAGGGCTTGGCAGTCCCAGACATGCGACGTCCTGATTTTTTCCATTCGGGGCCCCTGGAAGTCCCGATCCCTTCCCCAGGGCCGGTTTTTCGCCCCGAGCCGTTGTTTGACGGCCCCGAGGCCCGGCGAGGGCCCCCCGAGGCCGAAATCGGCTAAAAAAATCCCGCCTTGATTTTTTGTGTTAACGACGCGATCCTGCCTGGGGTAGGATCTTGCAGAGCTGGCGTTTGGTTGCGCTAGGTTTGGGATTAAGTCGGGCACGTCCCTCTACAGGAGGAATAGTCAAAAATAGCCACAAAAAATCGTCAGGCAACGATTTTTCATATTTTGAATAGTTTCGGCATGTGTTGTTCACACTGTTCTGCTCTTCGTCCACATACCCCCTGTAGGGAGACAGGCCCGACCGAAGTTTGGGAGCCGGTCGCGGCCCTGGAGGCGGATTTTTGTCCACGACGCGATCATGTTGAAGGGGCCCTGGGACATACAAATAAATACACACATAAAAGGATTCCCCATCTTTTCCCATATTTTGGGGTTTTTTGTCTTCCCCCCCACTTCCCATATTGTCCCATATTTTCTGGGGAGTCGACGATGAATTGTGTCTGTGTGTTTTTTCCCCGCCTGACATGTCTAGGGTGCTGGCGAGGCCTCCCGTGGTCGGCCCAGCGCCCGGCGGCCGGGGGAGCCCGGCCCGGGCCGCCGCCCGCAGGACGCCACTTCCCCGCGGGCCGGCACCGGCGGACCTGCGCCCCAGACCAAGTACACGAACCTGGCGGACGGCAGCACCGTCACGCGCAACGCCGGCGCGGGGCCCGGGCCCCCGGGATCGAGGACCGAGCCCAGACATGATCGCGCTGTTCTTTTTTATGTATTTGATTACTACTACTATTGCTGCTGTTACTACTACTACTACTACTACTACTACTACTACTACTACTACTACTACTACTACTACTACTACTACTACTACTACTACTACTACTACTACTGCTACTGCTACTACTACTACTACTACTACTACTACTACTACTACTACGACTACTACTACTACTACTACTACTACTACTACTACTACTACTACTACTACTACTACCTACTACTACTACTACTACTAACTACTACTAACTACTACTAACTACTACTAACTACTACTAACTACTACTAACTACTACTACTACTACTACTACTACTACTACTACTACTACTACTACTACTACTACTACTACTACTACTACTACTACTACTACTACTACTACTACTACTACTACTACTACTACTACTACTGACTACTACTACGACTACTACTACGACTAATACGACGACGAGTACGACTACGACTACGACTACTACTACGATTATTACTACTACTACTACTGCCACTACTACTACTACTACTACTACTACT